CCCCCCAATGGGGCTGTGGTGCCCCTGGGACCCCAAGATGGACCTAACTGAGGGGGTCCTGTTGTCTGTGTCTGCAAGACCTGTCTTGGACTGTGTTCCTGTCATCTAAATAAACCTTCTGCTTTACTGGCTGGCTGAGAGTCATGGTGAATCGCAGGAAGCCGTGGGTGCAGGGCCTTGTCACCCCCCACTCCGTGACACCAGTATTGTCATTTTTGTTTGTTTGTGTGTGTGTGTGTGTGTATATATATATATAGATATATATAGATATAGATATATAGATATATATAAAAGCTACTACACTACCTGCTTTACTGTAGTCTACTTTTGCAGAATTTGCCAGCAGAGGGAGCATGTTAACCAAAAAGAGCTGTTTCTGGAGCTTTGCTGTTGTAAAGGCCGATATTACTGATTATTCTAAACAAGCAAGCAACCAAAGGGGGGAGATAAACTCTGATCAACATGGCTAACTGAAAATGTTAATATTTGCTCAATAGAAAATGGAGAGCATTGCTATGGAAAGGAATCTCTTTAGGTCTTAAGACGGTATTAAAAATAATGGAAAAGGGCAAAATATTACAATAAATTTTTTTTTTTAAATCATACCTTAACCTAAATTCTTCTGTGATGATGTGCTACATGATTGAAAGGCAAGTAATGTGGTTCTGAGCTTGATGTCATGCTGATTAGTGTGTCTCCGTTTCTCTTGGATGATTTGACTATAACTTCGGGCTATTTGGGCAGTGCTTGTTGAGGGAGGTTGACACTGATGGCCAAATCTCTCTCCTAACTGACCTTACCACAAGAGTTGATTTGATATGATGATCAAAGTTGCTTTTATTTCTGTCTGTCATCTAGAGAGAGCAGCTCCCAGCTCCTGAGGAAGATTGTGAGAGTGGCAGTGACAAAGAAGATGAACAACCCCAAGTGGTAGTACTGAAAAAAGGGGACCTGACCCCAGAAGAAGTGATGAAAATTAAACAGGAGATCAAAGATGCTTCAAAATCAGGTAAGTACTAAGACATAATGAATTTTAGAATATTAATCTTTTGTTTTATATAGCCCAAAACAAAAAGACAGTAAGCAAATAAAGGAACATGCTTGCAGATGTAAGATTAATTTTCTACAGTTTCCTATTACCTCTGATTCACAATTCCTCATTTAAATAATTTGCCCCAGTGGTTCCCAGGCTGAGCTCTGTAGTTCACTAGAGCTTGCCTGACTAGTTACACGATCCTGGCTCTGTGGTTCCAGCTGTGAAATAGCAATAAGCTAAAAATACCATGGTTTTGTGAAAGTCATTTTTGGTTCCCTCTCCCCTTCCCTTAATGAATAACCAGCTCAGTGGTGTTTGGTTTAACATTTTGTTTTCAATTTCTGTGCCATTCTGACATATTTAAATGAACATAGAAGAAACTTTAAAATATATGATCCTCAGAACATTAGGGTCTAATTTAAAGCTGTGAATGAAAACTTAACTATCCTACAATGCTAAAAAAGAAGTGATAAGCATATCACTTGTTATGCCTGTTAAACTTACTAGAAACAATAAGAAAGTTGCAGAACTCTCTAGAAGCCTAGAAGGGAAGAGGTCTCAATAGAGTTATAGGTGATAGAAAAGAAGGATATAGCTAGTGTGTGGAATCAACTGTCATTGGTGCAGATTTGAACTGCTAGTGGGATTTGGGTTGTAAGACTCTGGAGGCTTCTGGAGGTAGGCAGGACATCTGTTTGCATGGTTCTCTATAGAACTGGGTAGTTCATCATCTTTTTCAACTTCCACAATGTTGAATTCACCTGGTGGTAGTTTCTCATTCTAACACCAGGAAATGTGAAAGCTGATCAGTACTACATATTGGTAATTTAATGTATAGTGACTAACAAATATCTGAATGAATTATCCATTCAACAGGCTTAAAATTGAAAGAAAAGGTAGCAAACAAGCAATTGAATAGATTGAAGTAAATAAAATAAAATTATTCTTCTTTAGTAAAATGTAAACCTTGACAAGAGTTATCTATCAAGATAGAAAAGATTTGTTTTCCTCCCAAAGTACAGAAAATCATTTTCTTCAGACTGCTTAAGATCAAATGTTCCGTTTTTAAAATAAACCAAAAGGCAGATTTGAATTTAATAAGAAAATTATAATCTTTGACTCAAACATTATTTTGAATGTAGCTCAAATGAGCAATTTAAAAGAAATTAATTTCACCCTAAATATACTCCTCCAGACAGATCTTAACTTGTATGCACAGTACAAGATGCTGCAAGTGATAAAATAGTGGAAAATTAAAGGAGGGACTAAAGGAATCCAGTGACTCAAATGGAAGCTTGTTGGTTGAACATGAGAAATGATTCAGTAATGGCAACAAACAAGTACAGGAAAATATGGTCTTACTTAATGCTGCTTTTGATTCTGTCTGTAAAGACAACCATAGAAAATTGTATCCAAGTTGTTGAAATAGCCATTCAGGAATACAAAGAAGAAAATGACAATAGGGAGGTCTCTAATTTATTGGACAATGTAAGTAAAATATGAAATGAAATAATGTAATGGGTGCAGTTATCTTAGAAGGTTGGTTGTATGGGTGTTCAGAATAATATTCAAACATTGTCAACCCTGAACACATTTCTAAAACACACTGTGGAAGTTCAGAAGTTCCTTCACAATGATAGCTGCTTCGTGGTTTGTTTGTGTTTTGTGTTTGTTTAAAGTGATGCCACAGCTTCACAGATGATGATGGAACTCTCAGAGTTTGTGGCTCTACTAAGTAAATTGAAACTAGAAGAGCGCATGAAAAGGACTTTGTCACACATAGCATGCATTTACTCAACAAGCGACTATTTCAAGAAGTTCTAAACTTATAAAAGGAATTGAAGGAGGTTTTGGAGGCTTTGACTGTTTACCAGATGATGACATTGTTGTCTGAGTAGAAATCTCTTAACAACCAAGAACTAGAACTGCACGGGGGGAAATGATCCAGAGAAGCTAGGAATTTTTGCCTGTTTTTCCAGTATGTTTTCCTTCCTCTCAAAACAGAAAAGCTGAAATGTAGCTGCTGGAATGAAATTTTGAGTTCCTTCTTTCTTTTCTACCATTTAAAATAGAAGATACAGTTTTTGTAGTAAAAATTTGTGCTTGTGAAGGAGGTTGTGTCATAGTTAATTGCAGCAAAATTGTGGGAAATTATAGAAGTAAAATTACAGAAGAGAAGACAATTGAATCCAGAATTCTGCCAGTTTTTAAAAGATTTTTCATTCCTGTCCAGCCAGTAAAGCAATGAAAGATTTTTATTAGTAGTGCTTCAGGATTGTGTTGGTCTGATCTTCATAACAGGCTAAGTACTTAACTTGGGAAAACGTTATTTGCTTCTTACCTCTATTAAAAAGAAAATACAAAAAAGTGGTGGGCCTTATCAGTTAGTAGACTGAAGGTGGGGGAGAAATCTATTCACAGAATTGCAAACTTTTCATTTCTGAGACTATGAATAATAAGCATAAACCTGTTCACACAAAGATATTTATTACTCAAGTATAATGTGCTTTGTGTTTCATTTTGTAAAGGGAAGTGGATTTTTTTTTTCAGCATGTCAAAAACCTCAACCACTCTGAAAAATACATTCAATGGTTTTTCAGGTATTACTTTTCCATGTAAACAATTGATATAGCAGCCACAGGAATCTGCTGATCACTGTGGAGGGGAGGTGGTCTGCATAATCATATATGGAAAGGGAGGTGGTCCACACTATGAAAAAAATCTGAACTGATCTACTCTAATGGGTAGAATAATAATCTGTGTGAAATAAAAGTAATATCTTTCATAAATAGGGTCAGTGAGATGATATGCAAATGCACCTGTACAGTTTTGTCACTGTAGCTTAGTCCTGAGCTTTAGCACCTCTGCATTTATCTTCAGTCCTAAGCCTTTGAGTAATGGCTATCAGTTATGGCAAATTGTGTAGGTTTTTGTGATATGGCCAATAGTAGTAACTTGGGCTTTAGAACCACTGTTGCAAGGGGCCACATACTAGTTACAATCAGGGGCTCTGAGACACTTCACTGTGATGACTGCTGTTCTCTTGCCTAGACATTGCATTGTCTTAGGCTTCTGATGCTTTGCTTGACTGCCAATGAAGTTAATATCCATGGGTTCATCTCCTGCCTTTGTTCTGTTGACTTGTGTTAACAGTGGGAGCAAACAACATAAGTGCTAGCATTTGCATCTGTGCTAGGAGATTTCTGCTGTGAAAGGGCCACATGTGAAAGTTTCTACTGCCATGTAGATGGCTGTGGTGTGATGGTACTGCAGCTCTCTTTGATCATCTTTACCTTGCCAACCTAATTTCCAGTTATAAGGATTCAAACTCAGGTCTCTGTTAACCATTGGTAGGTACAGCTGGCTAGCTCCACTCTTTATTAGAGGTTTTGAATATTGTGTTTGTGTTTTTTGCCAGTTACTTTCCGTGTTTAAAAATAGCAAAGTATCATGAAAAGATTGCTGTAGAGTAATTTCTTATTTCTTACATTTTATTTTTGAAGTTGTCAACCTCTGAGTTGACAGTGGAATGAATGTAATTCTAATAGTGTATATCACACAGACAGTTCATTAACTTGTATTCATATGAAGCCTGAATGGAGACGGAGGAAGAAAATGCCAGAATTAACATTCCATTTTACCATATCAGGATGAGAACAAAGGCAAACAGGTTCCAAGCAACCTGTGCCCAACAACCAGATGTGGATGGAGGCTGATTTACACTAAGGGTATTGTTGAAAGTATTCAAAAGTACCTAAAATATCCAGGTTTGACGTTCTGCCTTCTCATTTAATATGACCACAGTGATTCTTCATTCCAAAGGTCCCTTCCCACAGACATCAGATTGGGATATTATTCTGGGATTTTCTAAACCTCATTTACATTCCTCCCTATACAACTTTGTTCACTAACCAGTTTGACACGACTGTACCTTTTATTTCAAGCCATAGTCCTCCCTGTGACTGGCTTTTTCTGAAACTGATGAACTATACTCTTGCATTAATCTGGAAAAAATAGCTGATTTAATGTTTCAGCTTCACTTAGCCTCCTTCCGAGGCAGAGCGAAATTTAGTAATGCTCTTACATTGGCTTTTTGGAAATACAGTCATGGTGAGCACTTTAGCTATGATTAACCTTTATACGTAATCTTCTCTACTGAAATCATTTTATCCGTGGAGGACTTGCTAGAGGTTTTTTTAAAAGTTGCTATTTATCTACCAACAATCTTTTTGCTTAAATTTTCTTTCATGCAGCATTCTGAAAAGAATGATTGTAGGGTCAATGGTAATAAAAATGGTTTCATGAAAAATAAGATTGCAGAAAAGTAAAAATGGTAATTGATACAAGATATCTTGTCCCTGCATTCATTATAATCGCTAGAACGGGTTGGCAACCTTTCAGAAGTGGTGTGCCGAGTCTTCATTTAATCACTCTAATTTAAGGTTTCGCGTGCCAGTAATACATTTTAATGTTTTTAGAAGGTCTCTTTCTATAAGTCTATAATTTAGAACTAAACTATTGTTGTATGTAAAGTAAATAAGGTTTTTAAAATGTTTAAGAAGCTTCATTTAAAATGCAGAGCCCCCCGGACCGGTGGCCAGGACCTGGGCAGTGTGAGTGCCACTGAAAATCAGCTTGCGTGCCACCTTTGGC